AAGATTATTAATATAAAGGTATTTATTTCCTTTAGGATTAAGATTTGAACTTTTATTTTTCTTCTTCATTTGTAAAAGTTTTAATCAATTAACCTTTTTTTTTTTTTTTGACAAGATAGATGGTTAGGAAATTAGTAAAGTTAGTTTGTTAGCAGCTGAAATTTTTCCAGGAAAGTGAACGTTCCACCCCTTCATTTGAGGCGTGCGACCATTAGGTCGCAAGTTGGTGGAGTTCACGGCGGTGGCAGAGCTCGAAGCCCTGACCTCCGCCTCCGCCTCCGCCTCACCCAAACTCTAAAGCTTGGGAGCCAACCAATTGGACCACAAGCTCGGTTGGCAATTAACCTATTTTATTAAAAAAAAATTCGGACCAAACTCACATCTATGTAATAATTAGCTTTCATGTATCATATTAAATTTACAAAAATATTTATATAATTTGAATTATATTACATTACATAAAATTAATTTTTAAATTTCATTAAAATTTTATCTTTTAAAAACGACGGATCCATCATACGTGAATGTGGTGAATTTCTCATCTATTTAAGAGTGCTTTTCTTCTTTAAAAAAAAATTTATAACATAGTTTGAACAAAAAGAAAAAAACTCTTAAATTTATCATTCAATAAAAATTAAAAATTAATTTTTTTTAACTTATACCCTTAAAGTATCAATTAAAAATATAATTGATGCACTCTTTAACCATTAAATTATATGAAAAACCAAAAATATTAATATTAATTTTAACATCAATACCTGTATTTAATTTAATTGATCAGTTATTAAAATTAAACTTTATTTTTTATATAATTTAATAATTAAAAACTGCATTAACTGCATTCTTAACATATACTTGGCACATATTTAAAAATGAAAAACCTATTAAAACATTATCGAAAATTATCCTTCATTACCCTTCTCAAAAAAATCAACTGTTTGAAAAAATATTGATTCTATTTTATTTAATTATTAAGAATAATTAATAACTAATACTTTTTTTGT